CAGCTTTGGAACAGCAGAGTCGTCTCATAAACTGGAATATCTGGTCTATCAAAGCAGTGCAGGCTAGAACAGGTGTGTTACGATTGATTTAGTTTATTGCACAAACAAGGGATATGACTTTGACTGGATTTAAGAGAGAAGAAAAAGATCAGACGAAGTGAGAAAGTAAGAGCTCATCACTGCAGCTTTAGAGATTTTTCCTCTCATACGAACAGCTCAGGACTGCCCTCTGCTGGCACAATGATCGAACTGCATTGATGTTATGGCTGGTTGAGATTATATAACAAGAGCAAAACATAGCTATTATAACACTTCATTACAGAGATTGTATTATTAATTAGATGCAGATTCAATTTGCTCTTTTTTTTAATTCAACTGAACAGTTGTTTGGCTTACATGGCAAACCGTGTTTTGTGTTTCATGTTATGTTCATGTCCAATTGTTAGAAAGTCTTTGTCTGAAACACCACAAGTTTGAACTTTTACAAAATAAACACCTTCCAAAAGTAAGGTTTTAAAGCTAATTTTCAACCTCTTATTTAAAAGTTGAATAATAAAAATTAGTTCAGTAATAGATAGCCAACTTAATGTTATACATAGTACAGTTTGGGCTTTATTTTCTTTGTGAATGGAATTTGAAAATGTGACTGCATGAAGGATGTTGTAGTGAATTATTCATAACAGAACAAGAAAGTATTAAAGATATACAAATGAGTCAACTTGCAATCTGCTTTCTGTTATTCTGCACCTGACTCTTGGAACAACATACAGCGTCTTCTTGAGGGAAACCTAATTTTAATCGTCCAAACCTCTTTTTTAAACTGTTTTACATATTTATATTTATTTATTGCATTTGTGCTCGCTCGTTAGTACATTTTAGACTCTAGTACTTACGTACTGTCTTAGCTTCTTAGAAAACCAGAGTTTGTTTGAATTTATTGTCATTGTAAATGTGGGTTTCCCCTCAATGATCTTTCGAGTGTAAATAAAGGTTGAATTAATTTATCTAAACTAATCTTGTTTAATGATAATAAAAGAAATGATGCAAAATGGTCTGATTTAATATTTTGTCTTCAATCTAATTTAACTAATCTCACCTAGAAACAAACAGGACTTAGTCTTCAGTTCTCATAGACCACTGCACAATCCTCTACTTTTTACCTAAGTTAAAAGTTCCAGGTAGCCTCCAGCATGTAAAAATGGGTTTTAAAATACTCATCATGGCTTTTGTCTCTCTCCAGCACTGAATATTATCTCTCACTTTCAGAACTGATTTCAAGACATTACTAAATGTTATGTAAAGGCTGAAATGTTGCCACCTTTCTAGTCCTCCCACCTTGTGAACCTCAGAGCAGCCGCTGATCGTTCTTTGAGCGGATTTCATCCAAGGCTGAAAATGTGATAAGTCTATTTGCCACTGACATCAAAAGCTAGCCTGAGGGACTGAGTCAATCTAAGTAACTTTCCAAGACACACTTCTATTTACTTTTTTAAACTCATTGGTATTGTCTTATTGATCTTAATTTTGGCTTCTAGCCTTATTATTGCATTTCAAGTTTCAAGTGTCCTAGTTATTCCTATAGTCTTGTCAATGTGAAAACGACAGCAGCTTGATAGAGGGATGAGTAATTCTTTTGAGGTTTTTGACTGCAGACATGTTTTTGCTCTTGTAGGTTTCTAGTGAGTGACAGGAGAGCATAATAGACTAAAATAGCATCAAAGCAATAAGAAGCAGACACCCATAATAGTTTTTATATTAAACAGCCAAACTGGATCAATGAACCACTGCTTTATATATTCTAGATTGACATTTATGTTATGTAGTACTCTTCCACGATCATATTTTATTTGTTGAATTTACGAGTTTATTTTATAATCCTTCTTTCATCCTGAATTATTTAACTATGCATTCTTCTATTTAAGTTTATTTAATTGCAAACCCTGTTTAACCATTCATTGTATTCCATATTACTTCCCACATTTTATTTCTCTGAGCATGTAAAAATGGGCTCCTAAACAATGGACTGTAATGAGACTGTATAAAATAAAATTGACTGCATATAAAATAACCTACTGTACAAAAGCTGTAATTGTCCATGTGGACTGTTGTGAAATAACAGATTGATCATGCTGCTGTTTTCTGAGTAAAAAAAATCCATCCATACTGAAATGTTTTATTTTATCAATATACCTGAAATATTTGGAAGAAAAAAAAAACGTTTTGGATTTATGATGTTATCAATCAAAACAGGCAGATCTGAATGTTTGTTATGACCGATGACAGCATGAAGATACATTTTCATACTGGGACACAAAATCAAACCAAACTGATTTTTTTTTTCCATCTGATCCTAAATATAATCTGATTTCTAAAATCCAGCTTGTGTTGCAGTAAATTATTTAGTCCTTTTAGTAATCTTAGTTATCTTTTCTTAAAACTAAATCTGTAATACAGATCTGTCACCAGAAGAGGTCAGCAGACTCCAACACAACACAAAGAGGCCAAACACTCAGGGAATCAATAGATAATAATAAAAGGTAAAGCACCATTAATAATTACATGATTAGAGTACCAGGGTTCATTTTTTATCACAATGAGCCAGGGATATTTCGTTGATTATGATCACAATACAAAGTTTGAAACAATTTGAACACTTAGTCTGATAATCTTTCAGACCATGGTATGATATCCTGTATATGTCTGAAGCATGTTTTTGCCTGTTCTGAATGATTGAGCTGATGTATGTTGAGGCAGAGTTAAATCTATCTGTTTTTAATCACCTAAAGTTCAGAATTTTACAGTATTACTTTAGCCTCATCAATTTAATCTTAGAAATGTCCGATGTGTTAAGAAATCTATGAACATAAATATGTGGGGGACACACTTTTCAATATAATCTTTAATTATTTAGTAATAACAGTTTAAATTAAAACCACAAGTGGTGATGAAGGGCCCTTGAACCCCTGTGCATGTCGGGGTGTGTTGCGACCGCGGGAGTGCAGCAGCAGCTATGTTAATGGCATAATTGTATTAGGTTAGATGTGAGCAGGCCAGTACTGAGATTATTCAATAAAATGTGAGATTTTATATGGGAGGTAGTACTTAGTCCTTGCAGTAGGGGGCGCTATGGTTAAACTTTATTATTGTTTTGTGTCACTGTGTTCAGAGGCCAACCCTGATCATACCTATGTAATTTCAAGAAGATCAGACGTATATAGGAAGAAGTATATAAGAGTCACAGCCACTTCCTGTTTGATGGCGATGTGATTTGTGGACTTCCTGTTGAGTTTTGGGTGTGGGTGCAAGAGCCATTTTTGTAGGTTTTGTCATGTTGGAAATGCATAGTAAAATTCAGAATTGTAGGTTCAAAGTGCTGCGGGGCCTTAATGTTTGAAATATTGTAGGGGGCGCCACTGAGCCATTAAGCCACGCCCACTCACTTAAACGGTATAACATGTTTGGCTTTACTACCAGGATTATATGTATGAAGTTTCGGGACGACTATGTTAAGCCGGTGAAAAAAGTACTTCCCATTTGATGGCGAGCGACGCGTCCGTATGGCGACAGCTTTGGATGTATGCATTTGAGTTTGAAAGTGTTGTATGGCCAAGGTGTTAGCATGGTCCACACCAACTTTGAGGGGAAAATTAGCTACCATGTAGCAATGGCTAATGCTAATTGAGAAGCAGTAACTTCCTGTTGTCAACAGGTGGCGCTATGACTAATCAAAAAATGTTGATCATGGATGTGTTCAGGGCGGGTCCCATATCGTGCATGAGACATTTTAATATGATTGAACACTAGATGGCAGAGATATAAGCATTTACTTTTTTGGCAACTTGCCAAAACGCTCAAAAAACTTAAAACGCACGCCACGGCCACGCCCTTTGACGAAATAACGTGCAGAGCACAACGAGATATGCTGAACCTGTCTAGAACGCACGGACACTTTGATTGCACCAATCGGATAAGCGCCCTCGGACAAGTGCGTGGCCGCAAAGAGGCGGATGAAAAATAAGGAGAGGGTCCTCGCACGGTTCGTGCTCGGGCCCTAATTAGACTTGTGACAGGGCTAAAGTAGTAGCCAAAGTGTATGTGCCAAAACTGTAGTTCCTTTAATTGCCGCTTGATGTAGGCTCCAAATGTCCTTCCTAATACTCATATTTTCATATTTTATTTATTCAAGAAAAATCTTTAAGGGCAAGCTCTCAATTACAATGATGTCGAGAGTACAATTAATAATAGAATAGATGACAAAAATAACAAAGACAAAATACATAGATTTAAAGACCAGAAGAATAAACAGCAGAGCAGGCAACTAAAGTTAACAACGTTTACAGTCATGAGCACAGTGATTTGTTTGTTGATTTGTGATTTGACAGGTTTTTAAATTGACCCATGGTAGCCATTGTATTGAGTTTTAATGTGTGTGGTCGACCGTCCTGCTATGTTGATGGCTAACAAAAGTAACCTTGTTTACAGCCATTTATAACAGAGGCATTCACGTTTAAATTGGCGTAATGCTGGGATTATAAAGGTGTAGCCCGTTCGAGTAAAAGGGCCAACTTCTTGGCCAATTATTTTAAAAAAAATGATGAAAATCAAAATGGCGAAAAACACAAAGCTTCACAATAGCAGCACACAAAACAATAGGTTACATCATTGTCTCTACACCCACTCTCTATAGTTTCTACCCACAATAACACAAAAAGCAAAGAAAACTGGACAAGCCATCCAAAAACATGCGTCAGTTGATCCAAAATCCATCAAAACACAAAACAAAATGAGCAATATTCCAGGAAAAGATCTTTTGAAAGCAGCGTCTAAGCGTCCTTATGCTCTTACAATATCAGCAAGCTACATATTTGCATATATTCACTCATTTATTTTAGCACTTACAGTTTATATTAGTATTCTCAGACTCCTCCCTGGGGAAGAAACTTGTGAGCCCTCCCCTTCAGAGGAAGAGTCTCTCTCTTTGTCCTGTCTACATCAGTGGCATTTCAACCTGATGGCAAAGCCTTCAACGTGGGAGTTTGACTTGAGATCTGTGATTTTATTTAAATGTGTATGGTTATATTTGCTCCGGTAAGTTTCTTTCTTTCTTACATTTATCTCTTCATTCTGCTTTTGGACCACAGCCTCCATACATGGGGTGCGGGCACCAACCACTGCGCCACCAGTGCCCCTGCTTTTGTGATTTTTAATTCTACTTTCTTCAAATGTCAACTTTATTATATGAATAATCATATGGGTTGTATTGTTTTTGTTAGATTACAGGATTAACTGATTGATGGTTTAGACCCAGTTTAGTTTGTGGTTGCCACACATTTAAAACTAAAAAAAATATCAAGCTCAATGTGGCTGATATAAAATTAATCGGTTATCCCTTTTTGTGAATATTTTACATAAAAACTATAAAGATGAGATGAAACGTCAGATTTGCTTGTAACACCTTCAAATTGAGTCTGACTGTGCAGCTGGGATAACCCTGCAGTGCACAGTTAGCAGCACTGTTAGTTGTCTTCCGACCTCTCAATTATTCAGGTTTTGTTTTCAAACCAATTATCTATGTTAATAATAATCCTGGTAATTAATTCATATCTATAAATGATGCAGTGAGCTAGACTGATTACAAGTTTGATTGATCAATTGACGTATGACCTTTACTTGCATTCCTTTTCATAGATCTTTGCCATCTGTGCTTTTGCAACATGTGGAGGATACCATGGTCACCTCCAGGCTAAAGTGGACTGTGCAGACAGGAGGAGGAACAGTAACCTCAGCATCAATATTGAGTTTGGCTATCCCTTTCGGTAAATAACTTGTTTTTCTTTGAATAACTTCAATCCTTGTTTCAAATCTGCAAACATCCCAAAATTTGACCTTTAATAGGGTAAAGGTAGATAAATAACTAATAAATTCATCAATAATTGAAATGGTCAAAAAATTCTTTATCTACATTTCATTGGATCAATAAATCTTTGAGCATGTCTTGATTAAATCTCACAAAGGATGTGAACTAACAGACTAATTGACGGAGAGTGAAGATTTGCTTGTTCTCTTAAAAATTATGCTTTTAGATCAGTAGTGCATGTCCACAGTGACAACGAACCTCTCTGCATAATTCAGAAAATTGTCATCCACACAGAAAAAGATGATAACTGCACAGCTCCACTCCACCATGTTGTTACGGCTGGCAGAGAAAAGATTATCTCTCTAACAGTTCGACCAAATTGAAGACTGGAAGCTGGGCAGATGAGCAGGAAGCCAGTACAATTTAAGTTCTCCTGAGCAAAAAAAACATCTCACTGGATCAATAGACAAAATTGTACTTGGAGTCCCACCATTCAAGACTCCAAATCATAAGGTGATTTCTTGTGATGGTACAAATCTTTATCATGACATCTTCTTTTGCAACCTTTAGCTGTAACATGATGAATGAAGAGCTGAAGAGCAGCAGAAAAAAACTTTATAAATGATTGTTTGTACAAGACTAATATGTAAACATGTAAACCAATTTGCAACACCACAGTATTAATAGCCTGATTGTTTTTTCATGGTAGGTCATAAACATTAATATTTAGATTAATATTAATATATACATTTAAATGTTTATATAAAAAGCAAAATAAATAAATAAAGGCCTGGTTTAATGAGACAGCATTTACATGTAGAGTGTAAAGTAGCATTTAATAACGATAATGAAAGGTTCAGTGTTTATGTAGCTGTGAACCCTCATGGTAAAGTGGTGAAGCAATGTGGTCGACCGCCCCTTTACCGCTTTAGCCTCACTGTCATTTAAGGCCAAGTGTCTAATTATCAGTTCAGCTGGTGTTGTTCAATGCTACCCTACAACTACTGTTGTCATGTATTTATAGCACATAAACACAAGTGTTTTCTGACTGAAATTTACATACTTTTTACATTTTAAACAAATTAAAACATTTGATTACCTACCAAATATGAATTACCAACAGTTTGTGTGTGTATGTGTTCTGAGTTAGCATATGTTTAGGGGACACAGACTTTGTTATGAACTACTGGGGACTTGTTGTCCTTCTGGGTGGAAAACTTGTGTTTCCAAATGGGAAAAGCATATTTTGGTGGGTCAATTGTTAAGGTGAGGATTAGGTTAGGGGTAGGACAATAGTGATTAGGGTAAATCTACATGAGATTAACGTAAATATATGTTATGTTCCTGTAAGTGAACAAAGAAATGCATGTCTGTGTGAATGTGTTTGTAGATCTATTTTTGTGAGGACAAGTGTGAGTTATTAATATTTGAGTGAGGTCCATTTTGGAAAGTGAAGAAATCAAGGTCAGTACTCACTTTATTTTCATAGTAATAGCCTTTAAATAGTTTTTAAGCTTCATCGAAGATTCAGAAAGATCCTCAAAAAAAGTTAGATAATGACAAAAAATGTGTCCACATTAGATTTATCAGCACATTCAAAATGATGAGGCCAAAACAAAATGTTATTTGTCTTTTTCACACTATAGACAAGCCAAGCGAAGACAATCTGCTTTCTGCTGTATCTATCTCTATTTGAAGCCTGGACATTCGAGTTTTAGCCAAAACATTTCTAATGATAGAGCTCTCAAGGTGCCAGTGAACAATAAGCAACTACAGACATCATCCCTGCACACTAAACCTTTTAACATCCTTTTTTCTATCATTTTTTCATTCCCTAATATCTCCTCCTAGATTAAAAGACGTGCATTTCAAGGCTCCCTTGTGCGAGGGAAGGAGCAAAGAGATTCTATTACTGGATGGCGACTTTTCCTTACCTGCTCAGTTTTTTCTGACTGTTGGAGTGTTTGCTTTTCTGTACTCTCTGCTGGCAACTATCGTCTATGTCTTCTACCAAAACAAATACCTGAAGAACAACAGAGGCCCGCTTGTGGTCAGTGAGTTTATACCTCCAACACACATTTATAATTATTATAATACAACTTAAACTGAGACATTTGTGTTAGTACAGTTTATCATAAAACATTAGTGTCTTTTCTCCGTTCATTTATTCTTCTTGCTCTTTTGTCCTTGACAGGATTTTGTTGTGACAATCATCTTCTCCTTTATGTGGCTGATCAGCAGTTGTTGTTGGGCCAAAGCTCTTTCTGATATCAAGACAGCCACAAATCCTACACAGGTGCTACAGCTCATCTCAGCTTGCAGATCTCCGGAAAACAAATGTACAGCTACCCAGGAACCTTTCTGGTCACGTCTTAATACATCCGCGGTAAGTATTCAGCAGGAAAAAAAAGCACTGAGGATAGTGATGACAAACTGTATTATTTTTGTACCTTTTCTTCTGTCCAGGTTTTTGGCTTTGTCAATGTTCTCCTCTGGGTTGGGAATATCTGGTTTGTCTTCAAAGAGACAGGCTGGTACAAGACAGGTCAGCGATATCCAACCAGGAGTGCTTCTGGGAAACGTTCCAGCGAAATGCGACAGCGGCTCTACAGTGAGAGCAGCTTTGACCTGCCAGAGGAAAGTTCTGGTCCACAACTAACCAGACAAAACAGTTTCAATCTGTCAAAGGGGGATTTTGGTCAGCATGTCTATACCCCAAGTAGCTTCTGCCCGTCACAAGTAACTTTGAGCTTACCACAAGCATATCATGGCAAACCAAGGGAGATTAATGTGGCTTCACAAGGGCCGATGATATTTGTCAATGAGATGTGATACTGCAAGAATATTGCTGTACATGGTTAAATCGATGGAAACTTGTTATTGACACAGACCTATTCCATTTATAAATTCACAATTATTTAGCTATAGATACTGCTATGAGGAAAGTACTATTATGGCTTTTCAATATTGTCTTTTAATGTTCAATTTCTTTTATATCTATGATCCCAGTGGCTGTTAAGTGCATTGCATTGATATGCCCAAAACTTCTACGGCTAGATTGAGTTTCCTGTTAAATCAGACAAAATAGTGTTAGATTTACACAAGACTGAATTTGACTTATCAAGTTAGTGTTACATTTATACTTGTATTATTACCTCTAGGCTAAAATTAAAACACTGATTTTTTAAAACAAAAGTAAGTAGTAATGTCTCAGAGGCAGCTACATCTGAATGTAATGTTCCGCCAAATATATTTTGAATGTAGTTGATTTTGACAAGTATTTCTATGTTTTGTTATTTGAATATCTTTTAATGTATCATGTATCTTGAATTATGTTCGCATGTATGGCTGCTTTGTTTTGTCAGAAATGGCAATAGCAATGCTGTCTGTCTTCACCGGGACACTTTTGAGACTTCAGGTTAAAAACAAAATAAATACAAATAAAAAAGTATTATGATAGTTGGTATAGTAATTTAGTGTCGAGTTGCTGAGAGCCCCTGACAGATTTAAGCCCTTATAATATTAGTAATAGTAATGTCAAATTAAAAACTACAGATAATGTATTTTAAAGTCATACAGAGTTGGGAAAGAAGTAGAAATTGTGGCAAAAGCCAGTCCTAATAGCGTTTAATAGCACAACTGTAACTTCCTTGGTTAATTAGCACTGGTATTTGTGGATGAGATGGTATTTGCAAATAGGCTTATTTGCATATGAAGGGTGCAATTTACCCTGAATTTTAGAAGATTCCTTAATTAACATAGATGCAAATGAGACAGGCGCACTTAAAACGTAATCTGTTTGGCAAGGCAGTTGACGCGTATTTCACCCTTTGTACATGCTTTGTGGATTACACGCTCTCTTTTTCTCTCATTTGCACAGGTTTAGCACCCGCAAAATAGGCTATACAGTTTGAATACAGAGTTGTTCAAGTATGAATAAAGTTAATACTTTTAAGATGAAGTGGCTCTCAAAAACTTGATATGTATGGTGTAACCCCTTTGTGAATTGGTTATTTATTGTTACCTCATTTTGGATTGGTTCTACAGACATGTTTCTTCTTTTTAGTCATTACAAAAGGAATTTAATAAATGTTTTGCTTTGTTGTTATGACTTTAATTTGTGTTGAAACTGATCTTAATTCACTTGATATTTTATTCTCCTATTTTTTGTTATTGTTACACAATTTTCATTTGTCTTTATTTTCTATATCTTTGCCTTTTTTCTGAAGCTTTATTTATTACATTTTTTGCATTTTTTCTCTTAACTCTACAGTATATGTGATGGAAATCTTAACCGTTTAGAATGATATATCTTCATAATCTGATTGTGTTCTAGCCATAAATATGAAATGTTTGTCATGTATTCTTTCAGATGGATTTCCAAATATTAAAATCAATGGCTGTTTTTTCAAATCTTGAATTAATATGGACTTCAAATGCATAATGAATGATGTATTATTGAATTTTAAAAAATGTTATTAATTGAAGTTGATATCATGTCAATTTTTGCGTAAATACAAAAATACAATGGAAATTTACTATGCAAGTGTCAATCTAAATTATTTTGTTCAAGAATATGTAATATATCAAAAAGAAGATATACAATTTGGAGAACATGTGATAATACGTTGTTGTGATCCTGTTAAAATTTAATCCACCTTAATCTTTTATATCTATCTATATAGGTTTGTTTACCCCCTGGGTGAAGCCAATTGAGTCCACAAAAAGACATGAAAGCTGTGATGATGATGATGATTTAATTTTTTTTCGTGTCATGGACACAAAGTGTCCAACCCTCATGGGCTTATAAGACACCAAAGAATTCAGTTGCAGTGTTTTACATTCACATATCATAGCATTACAAAGTTGCAGACTTCTGTCACAGTTCAGTCTTAAACAATGTGTTCTGTCTTTTTTCCCTGGCTTTACAAACAAAATCTGCTATAACAAAAATTCCTTTTTAAAAACACAACTCAAACTCAACTTTTCATAATCGTCTAGCCAAAAGAAATCAACATAATTTGAAGACATTCTTTTAAAAAGAACATCCTTGATGTCAGCATACATCGGACAGTAAAACAGAAAGTAAATCTTGTTTTCAGTTTGTCCTAACTCACACAACAAACAAACTTGGTCTTCCTCTGGAATGGCATTAAACCTGCCGGTCTCTAAAGCTAAAGGTAATGTTCCTGAACGTAGCTGAGCGCAGAGGGATCTTTGTCTTTTGGTTAAATTAAACTTCGCATAGGCTTCTACGCTGTAGCAATCCTTTATGAGACAGTATGTTCTTAGTTTTGGTTTGCGCAATATATCTACAGACTGTGCTAATGCTATCATTATCAACATCCACATGAATATTAAAGTAACCTCTGATTATTATTTTATCAGTGCTAAGGACTAAATTTGCAGATACAAATTATGGGCTGGGAGGACTTTTTCATTCATAAACAGGCAACAAGGTGACTTAGCACAATGTTTTAAATAGGTTCTCCCCTCTATTATAAAACATTATCAGGCAGAATATAACAATATGAGGAGATTGTTAAATGTGAATCAGTTATCACATCTGCAAAACACCTTCGACTGAGTTGAATGACACTTTCTTTTTCCAGTGCTAAGCAGTTTTGGGCTTGGAGACATGTTCTGCAGATGGATTAAAATGTTACATAACAAACTATTTGCTGTTGTTCTGATCAATGGCCAGTCCTCCTACTTCCCCTTGAGGAGAGAGAAAAGACAGGGATGCTTTTTTCCCCACTCTAATTTGAAGCTGTAGTCATGCCGTTAGCAGAAGCTTTAAGGTACAGCCCAAATATCACTGGAATCTCTGTTGTTGATAAAAAAAAATACAAAATAGCTGTGCTTGCTGATGATGTCCTACTTTTTACTAACTAACCCAAAAACATTTATACCAACTGGGTTGGAATTAATAAATTAATTTAGTGAATTCTCTGGATACAAAATAAATGGTTCAAAGTTTGAATTTATGGCAGATTAGGCAATTCTCATTTTAAACCATCATCTCTTTTAAATGGTGATCCCATGGCTGTACTAACTTGGGGATCTAAATCACTTTTTTGGAAGAAATGTATTAAGTCATCTTTTTAACTCTCTTAAAACATATGAGCGATGATTAGGGTGTATTTATTTACCATTGTCTATGTTGGGTAGGATAGCATTACTGAAAATAAAGATCCTCCCCAGGCTCCTTTATCATTTTCAAATTATCCCTATTCTACTTGGAACTAAAACTATCAAAAGGGTAAGTATCTTGTTCAGTCAATTTATCTGCAATAAAAAGAAACCACAATAAAAATTACATAGATACAGATGCCTGTGGAGAAGGGAGGTTCAGTTACAAATATTAGACTTCATCAGTTGGCTGCACAACTCCATTAGTGACTGGATTAATAATGACCTATGGAGTATTTTTTATGTCTTAGTTTTTCTTTCTTTTTTGAAATGATGCATCACTGTCAAATGTAATTGTTACATTCTCTATACCATACTGATGTGGATAAATGCAATTATTTGCTTGTTTATGATATATGTGGTATGTCATGTGTCTGAGATTTAGTTGAGAAATTTAGTTTGCTGCCCAAGTGTGTTGTCTGTACTGTTTGATTCGTCTGTACGTGTGTTTACAATTCAAGTCAAATTCATTTATATAGCAAATTTAAGCACCAAGGTTGACCACAGTGCTTTAAGGAGTACAAATGTATTAAAACATATATCAATAAGAAAATGTAATGTGAATTATACATTATGTTGAATAATATTGTCCTTTGTCAAAGTCAATGTCTTCTTCCAGGCCTCGTCTCAGTCTGAAAATAAATGAAGCTCCTACAATGTCATCCAAGTAATAGACCAAAGAAAGGCACTGTTTGCCTCCTGACAGACACACTAAGCACAAGCAGGTGTCTGAGGATACTCTTTATGATACATACACCCACCCTTATTACCAGATAGGCCATCAATCTAATGATGTAACCCTTTATTTCCTGCCGACAACCTGAACCCATTTGTCACGCTGTGGTTACAAACTCTGTAATTTTCTTTAATGAATGCCCTCTGAGCTGGAGCTCTCAGCGAGTAGATCAGTGGTTATGTCTTCTATTGCCTGGCAACAAACATGGAGCAGCCAAGACTATTAGAAATAGAGAATGAAGACTGTAAAAGGTGCAGGGACATTTTGCAGTTCTTTGTAGGAACCTGCAGGGGGCAACGTCTGTCTGTACTAAAATCTAAAAGCTCTTCAACAGAGGACCCATCATGTTCAAAATGAATTTGAAAAATACTTAACTCTTTCCTTCTCTTTACTCATGTTATGGTTTCAATTAAAGTATGTATACATCTGAAGTATGCATCTGACACAACTTACTGTATTAAGGCATTTCAAACTGCAGGTGTAAGTGTTAATGTAAGAAGACATTGGCCTCTAGGTGTGGTATTGCATCAGAACAGAAACACAGCATGCACACGCTTGTCTGCGGTGTGCAGGATAATGTGTAGACAAGACTATACTCAGCACAAATAACCTGTTTTCTTTAATTGTACTTTGGGAATAAGTGGAAGAAGGATTATTTTTTATTAATCATTTTTAAAAAGACACAATTGTTAGAAGCATGTTAACTAGCAGGGCATATTTATTACAAAATAATTATCTCCACTTTAGGATTAACACTATTTATTATTTATTTATTGAGCTGTTTTTTTATTCACTTCACATAATATCACCACATTTGCCAAAAACACCCTTTATTTAATAACTGATTTCATGTAGTTATCTATTTATTTTTAACATTCCCAGACAAGTCGTACATCATCCATTACAGTACTGTTTGTTTGTCTGTCTGCACATTGTGTATTGTCTGGTCTTGTTCTGTTTGTCCTTTATGCCTCTGTTTCTCTTAGTGTGTTATCTCAACAATAAAGGCAAAAACTTTTTTTTAAATCTCCCAATAATAATGATAAATAATAATAATAAATTTTGATTTGAGTGATTTTTTAACTGTTTATATACTTAGCTTTAAACTGCATAAGGCCTGTGTATATACTTAGCTTTAAACTGAATATGACCTGTGTATATTCTTAGCTTTAAACTGAATAAGGCTGCTAACTAATTGATAGCCAGTACCCTGTGTTACTAAAGCTCCTTTAAAGTGTTCACAGTGGATTGAAATGTGTCATTGCAAAGTGTCAGTTCAAAGGTGTTGACCAACACTGCAGTCTTTTGTTTTACTTTCTTTTAGACCAAACACTTCTCTTCGCCTCTTGAGAGATATATAAGAATGTCACAGGAGAGCCTTGAATATGCAAAAGGATGCTGCTCTTTAAGTTTCCTTATTGTTGTATTTTACCATGCAAAAAAGTCTTGATTATGTGGTCTGAGGATAGTAGATGTCACATTTTGTACAGTTTTTAAAGCTTGATGGTTACAATCTATAGATAGAGTTTCTATATCTCGAATAACTTATAAAGGCTAAACTACAAATATTTTACATCTTGAGTCTTATGCTTGTCTTTGTTTAGATAAAAGGTATTCAAACCAGCATGTTAGTTCACACTTAGAAAAAACATCGCAGTAGTTTTTATGCATGCATTTATTATTATTATTCATCCTAGATTTTTTTTTTCTTTTTCATAAAATACATGAAAGTGGTATAGTAGACAAGTAAAACATATGTCTAAATTTGTAAACATACATTCAGATAAGCAGAAAGCATTCTCACATTTTGAGTTGGGTTGGTCATCAGATGCTGTACAGTTGGTCACAGTCTTCTCACACACTCATTTTGTCTTGCACACACACACACTCACACAGATAGACAAATGCTGTGCATGACAAACTTCACAGCAAATGCATTTTTCTTTACATACACATATTTACAGGTGAGTTAGAATTTCTCGTGTTTGGTCCAGAGTCAGTTCATCAAAGCCATGAATCCATTTGTGAAAAGTCTTTGTTTTTTTCCTGGATCTTTAAAAAAAAAAAATCTGATAACAAAGAATAAAGAAAATGTCCAGAGATGTGATGTAGTCATTGTGATTAAGAGACAGAGGACACTTCTGTCTTGCTTGCGGAAACTGAGGTCTCATCCTCCACCATGCCACCCATTCCAATAGTGCTCAGCATGCAGTTACGGAACTGAAAAAGAGGGCACAAGGCAAGAAATTTAGATTTTGAATAAATATCTAAATGTCTGAATAAGAAAAGACAATATATGGTACACCATACCTGTTTGTTAAACAGCACATAGATGATAGGGTTGTATAATGCTGAGCTCTTTGCAAAGAAGGCAGGAATAGCTGCTGTCAGTGCTGAGAAGGAAGCTCCCTTGTTCATGAAGATCCAGCCAGCGAAAGAAGCGTATGGTACCCAAGCTACCAGGAAGCCAAACACCATCAACACACACATACGTGTGACTTCCCTCTCAGCCTTCTGGGTAGATTCTGAGTCCTGCTGCTGTGCTGCGGCCTAAAGGGTTTTATATGACAGGAAAAAAATTGAGTTCTGGCAGTAGGAAGAAGTGTCAGCCAATGATCTTTAAGTCTGTGACAGATAAAAAGTTCATTAAGATTAACTTACAGCTTTGACAGTCAGCACAAGGCTTCCATATGTGAAGAAAATGACGAACACAGGGAGGAAAAAGTGAACTACAAACATGTAGATGACGTATGATTCATTGTTGAAGCCTGGAGCTAGAGTGTAGTAGTCAGGTCCACAGGAGCACTGCATGCCTTCAGGAAGGTACCTGTGTGAAATCATGCAGACATGTTTTATCCGTCCATTCAACCCATTTATCTACATTCAATGTGAACTATTGAATGGTGTGTTGAGTGGTTTAAATATGTATTATTCTTTCCTAGTTTGGCTAAGAAAAAATTACCTTGACCAGCCTACAAGAGGGGGAGCAGCACAAGCCATAGCCATGACCCAAGTGAAAGCAACTCCAGCTGCAGCATGGGTTCCAGAGAACTTGAAGCTTCCCATGGGTTTGCAGACAACGATGTATCTCTCAACAGCCAGGACCACCAATGACCAGAGAGCAACTTCACCTGCAGAATAGAGATAAGATTAAATATTTCATTCAGCATTTCAACACATTGAAGACACGTTCTTTCTTATTCTTTCATACCTCCAAGTGTGGCCATGAATCCCTCAATAGCACAGAAAGTTGCCCCAAGAATGAAGTAGCCGTTCATAGCAGATGTAATGGTGATGGTGAATCCGAAGGCGCACATGATGAGTCCAGCCACAGCCAGGTTGACTAGGATGTAATTGAGAGGTTGGCGTAGCTTTTTGTTCTGAGCCGTTACGACCAGTGTCAGACCGTTGATGGGAGTCCCAGTGCAGATCAGGAAGAACATGTAGAAAGCCAGAAGCTTGAACATGATAGGATCTGCCAAGTAGTACTGCGGGTATTCAAAAGGACTTCTAACAATCCCTGTCCTGTTGGACATGGGGATGTAGAAGTTCTTTCCTTCTGTGCCATTAGGCTCGATTCCTCCTTCCCACGCCATCTTGAGTTGCCTTCTTTGCTGGTACTTCGACTGATTGGCAGTGCACACTGTTGCACTGAAGTTACCCAGGAGCCAAGAGAGACAGCTTATGGTGTTGCTGCTGTTATTTTATACCCTCCCAGTGTTATCCTCAATTTGACAAAATTGGATTACAAGAGGATTGTAAGGAAGAGGAAGGCTCAGGCCTAATTAATAATTGACTTTAAGAAAGCAGAGATTTAGTCCTAAAGGATCAATTACAGTTTGTCAAATATGATAAGGTTTTCTTCACTGATGTGAAGGAAATGCAAATTACCAGAAAATGATTTACTTTTTCATGTGAGAGTGACTTTTTGTCTGTTCCTGCTTTTTCTGAATTTTCCACATGTATTAGGCTACATATCACAATAAAAAACTGAGACATATACTTACTTATATACTTAGATTCTATTGATAGTTTAATAAATGATTTGATATAAATAGTTATTAACCCTTTAATGAAAGGGAATCAATTATTTAATATTATAGAAAAGAATGACTGAGTAGGTTTAATTTATTTTATGTTCTAATGTTTTGATAAATACACTCTGTAAAGTGCATAGAGGATACATTAATCCCACTTGATCACACCCTCCTTAGAAGCTTCCCACTGCGCTGGTGGGCGTTAAACATATTCAGACTATCTGTTGCTGGGACTTAAGTTTCTTTTCGACAGAGACCACTTTGATTAGGTTTTTTTTTTTTTTTTAGGGGGGGGCCGGGGGTCCACAACCGACACAGCTATGAAACCAGGAAGAAGACAGGTAAAAGCAAAAGCAAGGCTGTTGTTCATATAGCCTAGTTATTTCTCTCTGCCGTAGAGACTGTTTACATTTGCAACTTCACAGTTTCATCGAACTTGTATTTTCTCTTGCGCACGGGCAGCTGGGGCTCACAGGGATTAAAGTAAATGCGACATGGGGCGCCGCGTCCTGGGAGGGGGGTGTCCTTAAGCCTTAACCTTTTGAACGTAGCACCCACTATTATGTCAATATGAACCCCTCAGACAGTTGGTTTACAGCCCGCTAGTTTTCTACTCCGCTCCACTTGAAACACGCGCGCTCTCTTTCACTCACTGCGCTCAACATGAAAAACGTTTTTTGTTTTTTTTCATTTTACGTTTCAGAAATAAACATGGCTTTTATTCTGGATGGGTTATTTTTGTTTTTTTTGTTTTTATCCAGAAATGTCCAGTTTCAGTGGGAGAGAAGAGAAAGATGCGCGTCCTCGAGTACACGTGGAAATAACTCGGATGAATTCAAATGGTCCACTACACAGTTGGGGGTAAGGAGTGAGCCTGGATTAATCTTTTAATATATTTTGCTTTATGATGTGGTGCTAGTCGGACAGTAGCGTAAAGAATTAGTTAATTGATTCGATCTTGACTATTTACTTACTAAGACTTCATTTACTTCATTATTCTTTTATTTTAGGTGGTAAATCAGGTAGGTTTTCTTGATTATGTAGCTCTAGTTTGAGGCTTTTTAAATGCATTTTAGGCACATTATACTGTACCTGCTTATAACCTTACTCATATTTACTGCACGATTGCCTTTGTTAACTTTTATTTATTCGAGTTATGATAAAGTTATATGTGTTTTAACTGAAATAACTTTTGTGTCACACAGCAAAGCTATATTTCCTTAAAAAACGCAATTGTTCATCGTTGCCACAAAGTGCATTTGATTTGAGAAAGGAATCTTTTGGATTTAAATATTTCTGTGTTTTAAAGGAATAGCAAACTTTTGTATTGCTAAATAAATCCTGAACATGTTTTATGCTTAATATTTGAGAGGACAAAAATGAAAACCCAGAGAGAGGAAGGACTATGTTTTTATTCATAGTTTCTGAAATAACCAAGAGAGGCAAACTAGAAAAAGTGACCATTAGGAAAGCCCCAGATAACAGTTGATATAGATTGCAGCATGGCCTGTTCAAGATTCAAGTCTGGGTTAAGTGGGGTCAAATCCCACAAGACGCTACAAGTACATTAATGAGACTATACATTTCTAATGATGGGGTTAAAAAAAAATGTAAATGTAAATAGTTTACATTGAGTTAATGTAGAAACGTGTACTAATGCAAATATGATAGATAACTTAATTTTTGTTACTTTGGTGTGTGTGTTGTTTCAGTCTTTTTTGGGATAGATTAACAGAAAGAAAGAGTTGAGTCATTTAGCCAAGGTACTGAACGTCAACCAATGTACTTGAGGTTCCTGCTTGACTCTAGCTGGAGCAACATGTGCTTTCTGGGAATTCATTAATTTCCTGTTTCCTTGAATGCCATTATATATGTAAGCTGCTGTTACATGCACATTAATTCCTGAGTGGTTACATGTAACCAATGAACAAATCAAACAAAATAGATAATTTCACTCAATTTAACTTCCCCCAGGGCTATTCTCAAGAAAGAGATTATGAATTACCCAACCAATGACTGTAAATGTGTGACTACCTTTCTTTGCACTTGTTGAATTAAGACAAATTTTCATATTTGAGATTTCAGTAAAATATAGAGTTAATTTTTTGATCGCCTTGTGCCACATTTCTTTTTCAATGGTGCAGAGAGAGAAATTAAGCTGTTGCACAATTTCTGTACACAAGTGGCCCTTTATTTAAGTAACCTTCAATAAAGAAGAAAATAAACTCGTATAATCTTTTAATTTATTGACATTTATATGATTTGGAATATTGTTATTCTGGGGAAGTCTAAGGGGGTATCAAAATGGAATTTAAGCATTAGAGTTAAAACACTCTTTATATTTTCATTCCATCATTTTAGGGACTTGTGATGTGGAATAGAGTTCAGCTTTTTTAATAATGTTTGGTAAAGTAATACACTTTACTTTTCACAAACTTAAGGTTTGAGCAAGTACATCAATCAATCTGTATTTGTATAGTGCCAATTCATAACAAACGTTATCGGAAGAGACTTTACAAAAAGCAGGTAAAAAGACCTTACTCATTCTTATTTAATATTACATAAGAGCAGGTAAACAAAAACATAATCATTGCTCTATCACAAAGACCAACCATTAATCCATCACGAGCACAGCACTTAGCAACATTGAGCAAAGTTACAGTGGCAGGAAATAAATTCCTTTGAAGAGGCAGAAATCTTTTCTTTTTCTACATTTTGTATATTTATATATGTCTTTTTTAAATCTTATCTTATATTTCAACATTTACTGTATATGTATTAGTCATTTTTGAGTGTTTATTGCATCGCCTTGCGGAACAGTCTTTACATGTCACTGCACATCTGTTTGAGCATGTGACAAATAAAAATCTTGAATCTTGGGCAAAACCAGACTCATACAGGATCATAGAAGAGACATCCAGTGAGCGCTGATATTGAATGAATAGACAGCACTTTTTAATGAACTGTACTATACAGGTGTTTTAAATATTGTTCATGAACATTACGTTACTTCTCCTGCTGAACAATACATGCACAAAAACAACGGTCAGCAGACTCTGATTTCACTGGTTGCATGATAAATGAAGGAGCTGCTCTGCTATAACATAGAGAAACACAGTGAGTGAGTGCAGGAACATATTTATGCGTTGGTTTGCAACAGTTTCAATCAAGTTGGAAAATAATTGTCTCACACAAGATTCATTTGAATGTTTATATGATGAGAGATGTTCTTCTGTTATTGCTAATAACTTTACAACTATAAGCTAGGACTGTTGTAGGGAAAACTTGTTGTATGGTTGTACTGAAGATCATCACAAAGTCAGAGGCCTAGTCCTGATCATCACTAGATCAAGACTTTCATAGACTGAAGTGAATACAGTAATACAGATGACTGACATTGTAGTTTGAATTGTAAAAAAAAAAATATTAATAATTTAAAAAAAGTTAACCTGGGTGTCACGGTCCCTAATTTAATCCTTTGGCTTCACAGATATTTAGCATCAGTTTTCAGGGCATGGCTGTCTGTGTCCAATCCCAGCAAAGAGGGTCTGCCTGTAAGATTCAACTCAAGACCCACAAATCTAGTAACTTCAGTCAATTAAAATGGGTCACACATGCCCCTGCTGCATATGGAAAAAAATTGGTTTGTAATTCTTTGGGTAGAAAATTACAATTAAAAAACAACATATTAAGATAAAGTATTGACATTCAAAATTTCTAGGTTACCAATGTCCACACATATGTCTTTCTAAAAGTGTTTGAATGTATTCACACATATCACAGACTATTACCTACAAATAACACAGAATCATGAAAGAAGAATAGCCAGAGCTGAAGAAATAACACCTTTATTGTTAAGACACAGTGGAGACTGTTTCCAACTTCTCTATCACAGTCAGTATTTGGCAGTGTACATGTATGGAAATTAAATGTCATGATGTCATTCAAGGTGATTAAACCAGGAGAGGGTTGTAAATAGCTTGAGCTTGTGTGATGTTGTCAAGTTATATATTCTAAGCAACAATAACAAAAGGTAACCAAGTCCTTCTTCCCAGAAGGTTTCTCCAAATTGAACAGGTTAGTGGAGCTGTCAGTCAAACAAACTTGACCTCAACCACATATTTCTGAGAAAAGGTCTACTGACACCTGTGTGGGTGTAAAGATGTTCAGATATGATAATTAGTTGAGCAGGAAATAGTCTTCAACTAATATATGTGCAGGAGAGGCAAGAACAAGTAAATCCCCAAAAAGAAAATGGTTTTGCATGTGGTGGCCACAAACAATTTCTCTCTCCTTATCCTTCCTGACTGATTCGTCTCCAGTCTTGTGTTCTGCTAGTGTCCTTGTTACAACTGGTAAAATGAGGCATTATAAAGTTATAATAGTGTGTGTGTGTGTGTGTGTGTGTGTGTGTGTGTGTGTGTGTGTGTGTGTGTGTGTGTGTGTGTGTGTGTGTGTGTGTGTGTGTGTGTGTGTGTGTGTGTGTGTGTGTGTGTGTCTGTGTGTGTGTGTTGGCATTAAATCGTTTGAAGTATTCACAAGTTGTTTATGGTTTAATATTACATGACTAAACCAATTATCAATTTCTCTAAGATATTATGGTTCCCTTAATCCTTGTTGTCTTCATTTTACGATAATGTTAAAGTTCTATATGACAGTACCATTTGAATAGTGCTCTGACTGTAACTGATAGCAGTAGATTTCTTCTTATATATAAGGTAACTACTGGTACACTAACTGGCTGATTTTATTTCTTGGCTAACAAATCACAATCCACTAAAAAAATCAATAACTTCTACAAATCATACACACTCTGTGGAAAAAACTTTCTTTATGGATGCAACCAAAATATATCTTTACCAACTTCTGAGCAGGATGTAAAAGTAGTTATATACTTGGTTCAACTTCACTGAATTTAGCACTTTACCTCTCTTTGTGGTCGTGAATCCCTGGACGGCACAGGCAGTTTAGGTGACGATAAATCCTAAGCAGCTCATCCAACCACAGTTGAGTTAGCTGAAAAACAAAGGTAAATCATAGATGGAGTCTCCAGTGGTGATCAGAAAAAACAAGGCAGAGATCTGCTGTGATTTACGTATGGTTTCTAACAAATACATGGCAAACTCCTGATGTACAAGTTCTGTTCCTTTATGCAGACATCTTAATGAGTGTTAGGTTGTTTGGGAATAATCCCAAGCTTAGATTAATTACCATTCTGTTAAAAGCCTCAAATCAGTGATATTACGGTCAGGTTGGGTGAGGTAAGTCGAAATTTGTTAATGACATTAACCCTGGATAACTAGGCTTAATTTGATCCTTAATAAGACAGTTAAAGAGGATGCCAGGGGCCTGTACTACGAAGCACGATTTGGATTCAGCGATGTAACTTCAGTGTTAGTTTTGAGTTTTCAGTTCTATGGAGGTCAATCAATTGTTACCTGGGTATATCGCCATGGTAACTTATGCTGCCATGGTAACTTATGCTGCACAGGTTATGTTGGAGATAAGAGATCAACCTGTGGAAATCTCCGCACACTGAGCAATCAGATCTAGATCACTAGATTTTACATCCATTAAGAGTGATTGTATTATCCCCTGTGACTGCTGATAAACATTGTTTGACTCTGAGGCAGTCACTTACAGACCTGGGGCCCATTTCTGAAAGAAGGTTTTGTGTAAACTCTGAGTCAGTTAACCCTGAAATGAGGGAAACTCTGGGTATTCCGTTTCGGAAGAGGAGGTCACTCAAACCCGAGAAAGAGGGGTAACTCGAGCCCGTTTCAGAGGGAGAGGTTACTTTACCTCTGAGTTAGTTACTATGGTAACTGAGTCTGTGAACCTCGAACATGGCATGTCTTTAAGTCGGTATGAAGGGACTGCATTACTCCATAGGGAATTAGAGCCTATGCTACGTTAACGTTGGGAGATGTTAATGTAATCGGGTTAATTTATAAACTAAACAGGATAAAGGTGAGAGGACATTTAGCCGATGTGTGTGAATACAGCTTTATGTTGAGGATAAAGTTAATGCACATTCAAATAAACTCTGAATGAAGTTAACTAGCCTATAAATCTATATGAGCCTATTATGTTATTATAGCTTATTTCATTTTGAGCTGTTTAAAAGTCGATTTTCTTCTGCTGGATTGCATCTTAATGAAAATAAATTGTAGGCTATAGGTTTAATTGCCTACCATTCCATCAGTTTTGACCTGCAATATTTTAATTCTGATTAAATATCAAATTAATAGACTTTACGTGCTGACATGAACAGCTGTTTTCTCTTACACCACTTCTCTCTCCTTTGCCGCTGCGCTGTAGCAGTTTTCCTTTTTTTCCTTCTTAAAACCTGTTCATATTCGGCGTAGCCTATGGCCACATGAAGATATTGATGTATTTTGAGATGGTTAAAGTAGGAGGATCTCTTTTTTAATCACCTGTTGCCATGGTGAATCGTAGAATCGGGGCTCCATTCATGTTGGCTTTTTATCGTTGTGGTGCACGCGCTGAACACCGAGTGGACCTACTCAGAGTTGATTTAACTAATTCAAATCTGCTGATCTGAAACCGAAAACTCAGACTTTCCCATCTGAGAGCAAATCAACTCAGAGCTCATGGTTAGACTGAGGGTTTGTTGAACCTTCTTTCAGAAACGGGCCCCTTATCTGATAATGTATTTAGATGTTTTCAAACCTTGGAGACGGTTCGCACTTCACGGTTCTTCCTGATTTTAGTCCTGAAAATTACAGAGTTTGTAACCACAGCGTGACAAGTGGGTTCAGGTTGTCAGCAGGAAATAAAAGGTTACATCATTAGATAGATAGCCTAAATGGTAATAAGGGTGGGTGTATGTATCATAATGAATGCCCTCTGAGCTGGAGCTCTCAGCAAGTAGATCAGTGGTTATGTCTTCTATTGCCTGGCAACAAACATGGAGCAGCCAAGACTATTAGAAATAGAGAATGAAGACTGTAAAAGGTGCAGGGACATTTTGCAGTTCTTTGTAGGAACCTGCAGGGGGCAACGTCTGTCTGTACCAAAATCTAAAAGCTCGTCAACAGAGGACCCATCATGTTCAAAATGAATTTGAAAAATACTTAACTCTTTCCTTCTCTTTACTCATGTTATGGTTTCAATTAAAGTATGTATGCATCTGAAGTATGCATCTGACACAACTTACTGTATTAAGGCATTTCAAACTGCAGGTGTAAGTGTTAATGTAAGAAGACATTGGCCTCTAGGTGTGGTATTGCATCAGAACAGAAACACAGCATGCACACGCTTGTCTGCGGTGTGCAGGATAATGTGTAGACAAGACTATACTCAGCACAAATAACCTGTTTTCTTTAATTGTACTTTGGGAATAAGTGGAAGAAGGATTATTTTTTATTAATCATTTTTAAAAAGACACAATTGTTAGAAGCATGTTAACTAGCAGGGCATATTTATTACAAAATAATTATCTCCGCTTTAGGATTAACACTATTTATTATTTATTGAGCTGTTTTTTTATTCACTTCACATAATATCACCACATTTGCCAAAAACACCCTTTATTTAATAACTGATTTCATGTAGTTATCTATTTATTTTTAACATTCCCAGACAAGTCGTACATCATCCATTACAGTACTGTTTGTTTGTCTGTCTGCACATTGTGTATTGTCTGGTCTTGTTCTGTTTGTCCTTTATGCCTCTGTTTCTCTTAGTGTGTTATCTCAACAATAAAGGCAAAAACTTTTTTTTAAATCTCCCAATAATAATGATAAATAATAATAATAAATTTTGATTTGAGTGATTTTTTAACTGTTTATATACTTAGCTTTAAACTGAATATGACCTGTTTATATTCTTAGCTTTAAACTGCATAAGGCCTGTGTATATACTTAGCTTTAAACTGAATAAGGCTGCTAACTAATTGATAGCCAGTACCCTGTGTTACTAAAGCTCCTTTAAAGTGTTCACAGTGGATTGAAATGTGCCATTGCCAAGTGTCAGTTCAAAGGTGTTGACCAACACTGCAGTCTTTTGTTTTACTTTCTTTTAGACCAAACACTTCTCTTCGCCTCTTGAGAGATATATAAGAAGGTCACAGGAGAGCCTTGAATATGCAAAAGGTTGCTGCTCTTTAAGTTTCCTTATTGTTGTATGTTACCATGCAAAAAAGTCTTGATTATGTGGTCTGAGGATAGTAGATGTCACATTTTGTACAGTTTTTAAAGCTTGATGGTTACAATCTATAGATAGAGTTTCTATATCTCGAATAACTTATAAAGGCTGAACTACAAATATTTTACATCTTGAGTCTTATGCTTGTCTTTGTTTAGATAAAAGGTATTCAAACCAGCATGTTAGTTCACACTTAGAAAAAACATCGCAGTAGTTTTTATGCATGCATTTATTATTATTATTCATCCTAGATTTTTTTTTTCTTTTTCATAAAATACATGAAAGTGGTATAGTAGACAAGTAAAACATATGTCTAAATTTGTAAACATACATTCAGATAAGCAGAAAGCATTCTCACATTTTGAGTTGGGTTGGTCATCAGATGCTGTACAGTTGGTCACAGTCTTCTCACACACTCATTTTGTCTTGCACACACACACACTCACACAGATAGACAAATGCTGTGCATGACAAACTTCACAGCAAATGCATTTTTTTTTACATACACATATTTACAGGTGAGTTAGAATTCCTCGTGTTTGGTCCAGAGTCAGTTCATCAAAGCCATGAATCCATTTGTGAAAAGTCTTTGTTTTTTTCCTGGATCTTTAAAAAAAAATCTGATAACAAAGAATAAAGAAAATGTCCAGAGATGTGATGTAGTCATTGTGATTAAGAGACAGAGGACACTTCTGTCTTGCTTGCGGAAACTGAGGTCTCATCCTCCACCATGCCACCCATTCCAATAGTGCTCAGCATGCAGTTACGGAACTGAAAAAGAGGGCACAAGGCAAGAAATTTAGATTTTGAATAAATATCTAAATGTCTGAATAAGAAAAGACAATATATGGTACACCATACCTGTTTGTTAAACAGCACATAGATGATAGGGTTGTACAATGCTGAGCTCTTTGCAAAGAAGGCAGGAATAGCTGCTGTCAGTGCTGAGAAGGAAGCTCCCTTGTTCATGAAGATCCAGCCAGCGAAAGAAGCGTATGGTACCCAAGCTACCAGGAAGCCAAACACCATCAACACACACATACGTGTGACTTCCCTCTCAGCCTTCTGGGTAGATTCTGAGTCCTGCTGCTGTGCTGCGGCCTAAAGGGTTTTATATGACAGGAAAAAAATTGAGTTCTGGCAGTAGGAAGAAGTGTCAGCCAATGATCTTTAAGTCTGTGACAGATAAAAAGTTCATTAAGATTAACTTACAGCTTTGACAGTCAGCACAAGGCTTCCATATGTGAAGAAAATGACGAACACAGGGAGGAAAAAGTGAACTACAAACATGTAGATGACGTATGATTCATTGTTGAAGCCTGGAGCTAGAGTGTAGTAGTCAGGTCCACAGGAGCACTGCATGCCTTCAGGAAGGTACCTGTGTGAAATCATGCAGACATGTTTTATCCGTCCATTCAACCCATTTATCTACATTCAATGTGAACTATTGAATGGTGTGTTGAGTGGTTTAAATATGTATTATTCTTTCCTAGTTTGGCTAAGAAAAAATTACCTTGACCAGCCTACAAGAGGGGGAGCAGCACAAGCCATAGCCATGACCCAAGTGAAAGCAACTCCAGCTGCAGCATGGGTTCCAGAGAACTTGAAGCTTCCCATGGGTTTGCAGACAACGATGTATCTCTCAACAGCCAGGACCACCAATGACCAGAGAGCAACTTCACCTGCAGAATAGAGATAAGATTAAGTATTTAATTCAGCATTTCAACACATTGAAGACACGTTCTTTCTTATTCTTTCATACCTCCAAGTGTGGCCATGAATCCCTCAATAGCACAGAAAGTTGCCCCAAGAATGAAGTAGCCGTTCATAGCAGATGTAATGGTGATGGTGAATCCGAAGGCGCACATGATGAGTCCAGCCACAGCCAGGTTGACTAGGATGTAATTGAGAGGTTGGCGTAGCTTTTTGTTCTGAGCCGTTACGACCAATGTCAGACCGTTGATGGGAGTCCCAGTGCAGATCAGGAAGAACATGTAGAAAGCCAGAAGCTTGAACATGATAGGATCTGCCAAGTAGTACTGCTGGTATTCAAAAGGACTTCTAACAATCCCTGTCCTGTTGGACATGGGGATGTAGAAGTTCTTTCCTTCTGTGCCATTAGGCTCGAATCCTCCTTCCCACGCCATCTTGAGTTGCCTTCTTTGCTGGTACTTCGACTGATTGGCAGTGCACACTGTTGCACTGAAGTTACCCAGGAGCCAAGAGAGACAGCTTATGGTGTTGCTGCTGTTGTTTTATACCCTCCCAGTGTTATCCTCAATTTGACATGATTAGATTACAAGAGGATTGTAAGGAAGAGGAAGGCTCAGGCCTAATTAATAATTGACGTTAAGAAAGGAGAGATTTAGTCCTAAAGAATCAATTACAGTTTGTCAAATATGATAAGGTTTTCTTCACTGATGTGAAGGAAATGCAAATTACCAGAAAATGATTTACTTTTTCATGAGAGAGTGACTTTTTGTCTGTTCCTGCTTTTTCTGAATTTTCCACATGTATTAGGCTACATATCACAATAAAAAACTGAGACATATACTTACTTATATACTTAGATTCTATTGATAGTTTAATAAATGATTTGATATAAATAGTTATTAACCCTTTAATGAAAGGGAATCAATTATTTAATATTATAGAAAAGAATGACTGAGTAGGTTTAATTTATTTTATGTTCTAATGTTTTGATAAATACACTCTGTAAAGTGCATAGAGGATACATTAATCCCACTTGATCACACCCTCCTTAGAAGCTTCCCACTGCGCTGGTGGGCGTTAAACATATTCAGACTATCTGTTGCTGGGACTTAAGTTTCTTTTCGACAGAGACCACTTTGATTAGGTTTTTTTTTTTTTTTTAGGGGGGGGCCGGGGGTCCACAACCGACACAGCTATGAAACCAGGAAGAAGACAGGTAAAAGCAAAAGCAAGGCTGTTGTTCATATAGCCTAGTTATTTCTCTCTGCCGTAGAGACTGTTTACATTTGCAACTTCACAGTTTCATCGAACTTGTATTTTCTCTTGCGCACGGGCAGCTGGGGCTCACAGGGATTAAAGTAAATGCGACATGGGGCGCCGCGTCCTGGGGAGGGGGGTGTCCTTAAGCCTTAACCTTTTGAACGTAGCACCCACTATTATGTCAATATGAACCCCTCAGACAGTTGGTTTACAGCCCGCTAGTTTTCTACTCCGCTCCACTTGAAACACGCGCGCTCTCTTTCACTCACTGCGCTCAACATGAAAAACGTTTTTTGTTTTTTTTCATTTTACGTTTCAGAAATAAACATGGCTTTTATTCTGGATGGGTTATTTTTGTTTTTTTTGTTTTTATCCAGAAATGTCCAGTTTCAGTGGGAGAGAAGAGAAAGATGCGCGTCCTCGAGTACACGTGGAAATAACTCGGATGAATTCAAATGGTCCACTACACAGTTGGGGGTAAGGAGTGAGCCTGGATTAATCTTTTAATATATTTTGCTTTATGATGTGGTGCTAGTCGGACAGTAGCGTAAAGAATTAGTTAATTGATTCGATCTTGACTATTTACTTACTAAGACTTCATTTACTTCATTATTCTTTTATTTTAGGTGGTAAATCAGTTAGGTTTTCTTGATTATCTAGCTCTAGTTTGAGGCTTTTTAAATGCATTTTAGGCACATTATACTGTACCTGCTTATAACCTTACTCATATTTACTGCACGATTGCCTTTGTTAACTTTTATTTATTCGAGTTATGATAAAGTTATATGTGTTTTAACTGAAATTTGTTGCAATAGTTCATTGCAGCTTTTGGTTAAGATGTAACTCTCAATAAAATATAACTTTTGTGTCACACAGCAAAGCTATATTTCCTTAAAAAAACGTAATTGTTCATCGTTGCCACAAAGTGCATTTGATTTGAGAAAGGAATCTTTTGGATTTAAATATTTCTGTGTTTTAAAGGAATAGCAAACTTTTGTATTGCTAAATAAATCCTGAACATGTTTTATGCTTAATATTTGAGAGGACAAAAATGAAAACCCAGAGAGAGGAAGGACTATGTTTTTATTCATAGTTTCTGAAATAACCAAGAGAGGCAAACTAGAAAAAGTGACCATTAGGAAAGCCCCAGATAACAGTTGATATAGATTGCAGCATGGCCTGTTCAAGATTCAAGTCTGGGTTAAGTGGGGTCAAATCCCACAAGACGCTACAAGTACATTAATGAGACTATACATTTCTAATGATGGGGTTAAAAAAAAATGTAAATGTAAATAGTTTACATTGAGTTAATGTAGAAACGTGTACTAATGCAAATATGATAGATAACTTAATTTTTTTTAACATTATAGTTACTTTGGTGTGTGTGTTGTTTCAGTCTCTTTTGGGATAGATTAACAGAAAGAAAGAGTTGAGTCATTTAGCCAAGGTACTGAACGTCAACCAATGTACTTGAGGTTCCTGCTTGACTCTAGCTGGAGCAACATGTGCTTTCTGTGATCAAGGGCAGAGGTTACATTTCAACACTAGGGGGAGACATAGCCATTGACTCTGGGAATTCATTAATTTCCTGTTTCCATGTAAGCTGCTGTTGCATGCACATTAATTCCTGAGTGGTTACATGTAACCAATGAACAAATCAAACAAAATAGATAATTTCACTCAATTTAACTTCCCCCAGGGCTATTCTCAAGAAAGAGATTATGAATTACCCAACCAATGACTGTAAATGTGTGACTACCTTTCTTTGCACTTGTTGAATTAAGACAAATTTTCATATTTGAGATTTCAGTAAAATATAGAGTTAATTTTTTGATCGCCTTGTGCCACATTTCTTTTTCAATGGTGCAGAGACAGAAATTAAGCTGTTGCACAATTTCTGTACACAAGTGGCCCTTTATTTAAGTAACCTTCAATAAAGAAGAAAATAAACTCGTATAATCTTTTAATTTATTGACATTTATATGATTTGGAATATTGTTATTCTGGGGAAGTCTAAGGGGGTATCAAAATGGAATTTAAGCATTAGAGTTAAAACACTCTTTATATTTTCATTCCATCATTTTAGGGACTTGTGATGTGGAATAGAGTTCAGCTTTTTTAATAATGTTTGGTAAAGTAATACACTTTACTTTTCACAAACTTAAGGTTTGAGCAAGTACATCAATTAATCTGTATTTATATAGTGCCAATTCATAACAAACGTTATCGGAAGAGACTTTACAAAAAGCAGGTAAAAAGACCTTACTCATTCTTATTTAATATTACATAAGAGCAGGTAAACAAAAACATAATCATTGCTCTATCACAAAGACCAACCATTAATCCATCACGAGCACAGCACTTAGCAACATTGAGCAAAGTTACAGTGGCAGGAAATAAATTCCTTTGAAGAGGCAGAAATCTTTTCTTTTTCTACATTTTGTATATTTATATATGTCTTTTTTAAATCTTATCTTATATTTCAACATTTACTGTATATGTATTAGTCATTTTTGAGTGTTTATTGCATCGCCTTGCGGAACAGTCTTTACATGTCACTGCACATCTGTTTGAGCATGTGACAAATAAAAATCTTGAATCTTGGGCAAAACCAGACTCATACAGGATCATAGAAGAGACATCCAGTGAGCGCTGATATTGAATGAATAGACAGCACTTTTTAATGAACTGTACTATACAGGTGTTTTAAATATTGTTCATGAACATTACGTTACTTCTCCTGCTGAACAATACATGCACAAAAACAACGGTCAGCAGACTCTGATTTCACTGGTTGCATGATAAATGAAGGAGCTGCTCTGCTATAACATAGAGAAACACAGTGAGTGAGTGCAGGAAAATATTTATGCGTTGGTTTGCAACAGTTTCAATCAAGTTGGAAAATAATTGTCTCACACAAGATTCATTTGAATGTTTATATGATGAGAGATGTTCTTCTGTTATTGCTAATAACTTTACAACTATAAGCTAGGACTGTTGTAGGGAAAACTTGTTGTGTGGTTGTACTGAAGATCATCACAAAGTCAGAGGCCTAGTCCTGATCATCACTAGATCAAGACTTTCATAGACTGAAGTGAATACAGCAATACAGATGACTGACATTGTAGTTTGAATTGTAAAAAAAAAAAAATTAATAATTTAAAAAAAGTTAACCTGGGTGTCACGGTCCCTAATTTAATCCTTTGGCTTCACAGATATTTAGCATCAGTTTTCAGGGCATGGCTGTCTGTGTCCAATCCCAGCAAAGAGGGTCTGCCTGTAAGATTCAACTCAAGACCCACAAATCTAGTAACTTCAGTCAATTAAAATGGGTCACACATGCCCCTGCTGCATATGGAAAAAAATTGGTTTGTAATTCTTTGGGTAGAAAATTACAATTAAAAAACAACATATTAAGATAAAGTATTGACATTCAAAATTTCTAGGTTACCAATGTCCACACATATGTCTTTCTAAAAGTGTTTGAATGTATTCACACATATCACAGACTATTACCTACAAATAACACAGAATCATGAAAGAAGAATAGCCAGAGCTGAAGAAATAACACCTTTATTGTTAAGACACAGTGGAGACTGTTTCCAACTTCTCTATCACAGTCAGTATTTGGCAGTGTACATGTATGGAAATTAAATGTCATGAGTGAGAATATAAAGTGAGAAAGATAATAATGGCATTTAACAAAATGTAAACTCAAATTCCCATCGACACCTCACAAAATATATTTTAAAAAGTCAAATGTATATTTAAATATGTAAATACTCACATATTTTATAATAATTTATGTTCCATAAAAAAATACATACAATATTTGTATGTATTTAAATTGAAAACATTTAAATCAAACTTTAATATTATTCGAAAATCTGCTCCATTAGCAAATAAAAAGGATATTCAGCTTATTTAGCAGTACTGGCAGCATACAGATTCAACACTTTTTAAAAGCACCTGTTGCTCAACTGCACAGAGATAAAAGCATTACACAGCGATGAGCTCTCTTCCACTGAGACAGGTATTTCCACTGTCAAGGATAAGACAATAGCTCCCTGATTCTTGAAGGTCTCACCTGTGGAAATCCAGTTTGGACTGCAGACAGCGGGAAAGAAAGTGACCATCAAAACTAACTTACATGTGTTTTATTTGTTGATTTGCTGCAGCAGAAGGCTTTAAAGCCTCTGTACACCCACACAGGTTTTTTTTCATCATTCAAGCTGATTAAACCAGGAGAGGGTTGTAAATAGCTTGAGCTTGTGTGATGTTGTCAAGTTATATATTCTAAGCAACAATAACAAAAGGTAACCAAGTCCTTCTTCCCAGAAGGTTTCTCCAAATTGAACAGGTTAGTGGAGCTGTCAGTCAAACAAACTTGACCTCAACCACATATTTCTGAGAAAAAGTCTACTGACACCTGTGTGGGTGTAAAGATGTTCAGATATGATAATTAGTTGAGCAGGAAATAGTCTTCAACTAATATATGTGCAGGAGAGGCAAGAACAAGTAAATCCCCAAAAAGAAAATGGTTTTGCATGTGGTGGCCACAAACAATTTCTCTCTCCTTATCCTTCCTGACTGATTCGTCTCCAGTCTTGTGTTCTGCTAGTGTCCTTGTTACAACTGGTAAAATGAGGCATTATAAAGTTATAATGTTTAAAAGGCTTAGCAACTCAGATTGTTCTGATTAAGTGTAAAAATTCTCAGATATTCTCTTTCAATCTTCCAAAATCTTAAAAAGGTAACAAAAAGGGAATTTTAGATGTTATTAGTGGTGATTAAAACAATACTAGTTATTGTTGTTTGAATTTGTTTATATAACTTTAAATAAGTAAAAACATATATTAAGGTTAATCAGCAAATAATATGTGTGTGTGTGTCTGTTGGCATTAAATAGTTTGAAGTATTCACAAGTTGTTTATGGTTTAATATTACATGACTAAACCAATTATCAATTTCTCTAAGATATTATGGTTCCCTTAATCCTTGTTGTCTTCATTTTACGATAATGTTAAAGTTCTATATGACAGTACCATTTGAATAGTGCTCTGACTGTAACTGATAGCAGTAGATTTCTTCTTATATATAAGGTAACTACTGGTACACTAACTGGCTGATTTTATTTCTTGGCTAACAAATCACAATCCACTAAAAAAATCAATAACTTCTACAAATCATACACACTCTGTGGAAAAAACTTTCTTTATGGATGCAACCAAAATATATCTTTACCAACTTCTGAGCAGGATGTAAAAGTAGTTATATACTTGGTTCAACTTCACTGAATTTAGCACTTTACCTCTCTTTGTGGTCGTGAATCCCTGGACGGCACAGGCAGTTTAGGTGACGATAAATCCTAAGCAGCTCAGCCAACCACAGTTGAGTTAGCTGAAAAACAAAGGTAAATCATAGATGGAGTCTCCAGTGGTGATCAGAAAAAACAAGGCAGAGATCTGCTAGAACGTGTGGTTTCTAACAAATACATGGCAAACTCCTGATGTACAAGTTCTGTTCCTCTATGCAGACATCTTAATGACTGTTAGGTTGTTTGGGAATAATCCCAAGCTTAGATTAATTACCATTCTGTTAAAAGCCTCAAATCAGTGATATTACGGTCAGGTTGGGTGAGGTAAGTCGAAATTTGTTAATGACATTAACCCTGGATAACTAGGCTTAATTTGATCCTTAATAAGACAGTTAAAGAGGATGCCAGGGGCCTGTACTACGAAGCACGATTTGGGTTTAGCGATGTAACTTCAGTGTTAACCCTGAGTTTTCAGTTCTACGAAAAGTCAATCAATTGTTACCTGGGTATATCGCCATGGTAACTTATGCTGCACACCCAACCTGCTCCAGAGCAGGTTATGTTGGAGATAAGAGATCAACCTGTGGAAATCTCCGCACACTGAGCAATCAGATTTTTTGATCGTGGAGCTCCTGGAGCTGATTGACAGGGGGGGGGGGAGAAACCCTTCATGTGTCCTGTATAATAACATTATAGTCTGTAAAGTTAATGATTATTTTTTAACTGATATCATCCTTAATCCTTCAACAGAGACTAAAAAAAGCGGAGCTGTGTTTTTAAGTTGTTAAATTACAAATAGCTTCTTATGGCTTTGAATTATATTTAATGTTTAGTGTCTCCATGCCGCTTTGTTTGTTATTGTCAGAGCTGCAGCTGAAATATAACTTCTCAAACTGTTATACTCGCCACATGAAAGAGTCAGAGACACACATCCAGTTAAGAGAAAATGCAGGAGTTGTTTTTTTTTCAGTTTTACGGCAAACTAATGATGGGAAAAAATATAATGAGCCGCAGTTTGCACATTAATACTCGCCAATGTTTCTTTTATTTGCCAGTTGTTCTGCCTGCATTTGTTGCTGCAGCTGTGTAACTTAAGTCTCTGGGAGACTGTTTGTTTTAAATGTCTTTCTATTATTAATACCGTTTGTTTCATAGTTTGTTAGATATGAAGATCCGCTGACAAGAGACGCAGTTATGCTTGTGATATGTTGAAGGTTACTCTGCCCCTTTTATGTGAACGAGCTCTTGGAAACTTGAGGGTAACTTATCAGGTTGATAACCAGCTTAGTATGACTGTTAATCACGGTCTCTTATGTTAGCGTTAATGTAGCCAGATAACTCAAAGATACCCTGGGTATGTTAATCTCGCTTTGTAGTACAGGCCCCAGATGAGATACCAAAGATTAAGATTGAAGAGAATTACCTACTGTTGTTGTTGTTGTTGTTGTTGTTGTTGTTGATGGCTTCCAGTGAAGGCTTCATTGGGTTAATTCAATTTATATAATTAGAATAAAAAACGACTTATTTGTGTACCCCTGGAAAAAATGTATGTAACATTTATGTTATTAAGATTCATGTTGTGTATCTACACCAATCTCTCATTCATATGAATATCACCAATATTTTCTCAACCGAGTTGAATTACCGCATCACAAGCAGCTTCTTTGCAGTAATTTAAATTTGGTTTATATCGGTAACACTGATGTTATTAATTATGATCATTCTGGATCATAAACGACAGAGATAACTGCTCATGAGTTTATAGATGGCCAAGAATTGTATCGCAGAACTACTTCCATTAATGTCACTGAATCTGACTGAATGAGAGATTTTCTGTGATACAAAAAAGACCTTATTGAATATTCCCTAACTAGAGACAGTGCTACTTTTGTTTAATGAAGATTGGAAAATTGGATAACTCTTTGTCAGACATGATCATTTAACCTATGTGCAGTTAAGCTATTGCTACTGCACAACAAGGTCAAGGAAGGTGAGACTCTTAGTTTAATCCCATCAGGATAATAACTTCAGTTCCTCCATATGGAGAGAGATGGTGTAAATGGTAGTGTTAGTGTAGCTATGCAAATCAAGATGATCTTTCAACACAGTGTACTGAAGCATCAAATAATAGAACATGAACAAAAACATGAGCTTTAGATCACATTAAAATGTTAACTTGATTAGTGACAGAGAAGAGCCTCTTCTCAGAAAATCTGCTTTATCCTTTACTATATTTAAAACAAACACCACAGTGCATACAATTCATGATAAAGTTTGTGGACACCTCTATTTATAATTACATTTGTGCGTCAACCACATCAAATCTTAATAGCTGCATAAAATCAAGTATATAGCTATGAAATCACATAGTTGTAAAATTGAAGTATGGGCTGTAAAGAGTTCAGTAACACATGCCATTGTCAAAGGATGCTATATTTGCAAAGGGATTTAATTGGCATGTTTTAATGAGTTTGGTGTAAAAAAAACCTCAAATGGCCTACACAGATCCCTGGTTTTAATCACCACTAAAAACCTCGTAGAGTTTACTAAGGCAATTGCCTGATCTGACAAATGCTCTTTGGTTCTCAAAAATGTTGTCGAAAGCCTTCCTAGAAGAAGGTTATCCACAGCTTTTGAGGCGTGTTGCATGAAGGTGCATAAGCTTGGCTAACTGCATATTAATGCCCATGGTTTCTGGGCTGTAAATTAACTCCTAAATAATGTTATGAATTTACTTCCATTTATTCAATTATTGAATCTGTAATTCCCATTACCTAATCTTTAATCCTTTAGGCATGGTAAGTGGAGCAAATGACTTTAGGGTGAGGCTTCTCTATCCGGTGAGATAATTGCTCACCTCAGTTAACTTTTGTGCTCCCTCACAGTCCTGTAATCCAATTTTGACAACTTGACCAAAAGGTTGGTGGTTGGGTATAAAAACCCCACTACACAAATCTAAGTCTTGTGTCCACCAACACGATTGGATTCTTTGGACGGAGAAGCTCAACAGAAAAACAGCATAGTGAAGATGGTGTGGGATGGAGGAATTGAGCCCAATGGCACAGAGGGAAAGAACTTCTACATCCCCATGTCCAACAGGACTGGGATTGTTAGAAATCCTTTTGAATATCCACAGTATTATATGGTGGATCCAATGATCTACAAGCTCCTGGCTTTCTACATGTTCTTCCTGATCTGCACTGGGACTCCCATCAACACTCTGACATTGCTGGTAACATTCCAAAACAAGAAGCTCCAGCAACCTCTCAACTACATTCTGGTCAACCTGGCCGTGGCTGGACTCATCATGTGCGCCTTCGGATTCACCATCACCATCACATCTGCTTTGAATGGCTACTTCATTCTTGGACCAACTTTCTGCGCCATTGAGGGGTTCATGGCTACACTTGGAGGTATAGAATTAACTTCAATCTGTCATGCTTAATTTCTTTCTGCTTCACAAAATTCCCTTAAAGTTTCCTCTGTATTTTAACCCTTTTCCACAGAGCTGGTACAATTTCATGACAGACAATATGGAATACCTGACAATGAGAGCGATAATCTGGACAAATATTGATAATTCATCTTAATTATTTAACAACAAACAACTTCATTTTGGAAAGCTGTTGTCTAAGATCCCTCATTCTCTCTGCAGGTGAAGTTGCTCTATGGTCACTGGTAGTCCTGGCTATCGAAAGATACATTGTTGTCTGCAAACCCATGGGAAGCTTCAAGTTCAGTGGTGCTCATGCAGGGGCTGGAGTTCTTTTTACTTGGATCATGGCTTTCTCATGTGCTGGACCCCCATTGTTTGGCTGGTCTAGGTAAGTGATACAATATATATTACTGGAAATCTGAATACTTAAACACCAGCCTAAACAAAAAAATTAAGGCTTAAAGAAATGAGAGTGTAAAAGCAAAGTTATAAGGTTGGTAATACTGAATATATGAAGCCTGAATGGCTAAAGACTTATTGATTCAAAACAGCAGCTCTTCTTTTCCCTCAACAAAGGTACCTTCCTGAGGGCATGCAGTGCTCCTGTGGACCTGACTACTACACTCTTGCTCCAGGCTTCAACAATGAATCATATGTCATCTACATGTTTGTAGTTCACTTCTTTGTTCCTGTGTTCGTCATTTCCTTTACATATGGAAGCCTTGTGCTGACTGTCAAAGCTGTAAGTAAAGTTTGTGAAATGTAGAACTTATTGCTTTTAAGGAATTTCATCACAATGTATGTAAAACTGTTTGTGCCACAAATCCTCATGGAGTTTTTGGTATGAAACCCTTTAGGCTGCAGCTCAGCAGCAGGAGTCAGAATCTACCCAGAAGGCTGAGAGGGAAGTCACACGTATGTGCATCTTGATGGTGTTTGGCTTCCTGGTAGCTTGGACACCATATGCAACTTTCAGCGGCTGGATCTTCATGAACAAGGGAGCTTCCTTCACCGCTCTGACAGCAGCTATTCCTGCCTTCTTTGCAAAGAGCTCAGCATTGTACAACCCTGTCATCTATGTGCTATTTAACAAACAGGTTAGTTCATATAAAATAATCATATATACTGTACTTTCCATGCTTGTCATGTTAACATGATTTGTAATCCTGCATATCTGATTATAAACTCCTTATCTATCCTTTTCAGTTCCGTAACTGCATCCTGAGCACTATTGGAATGGGCGGCATGGTTGAGGATGAGACCTCAGTTTCCACAAGCAAGACAGAAGTGTCTTCTGTCTCTTAAATACAGAGACATTTTCTCATACCTGGACATTTTACTTTCTACTATCTTTTTGATCTGGAATAACCCTCAACATGGACTGAGTGAAGTTCAGGGACATCTGAACTACTTTAATAGTAATGAACAGCTCCAGGATGGAAGTCATCTCATCTTTTTAAAGGATGTTGGAAATGATTGGTTGACCCGAATTCAAATCAATGCAAATAGTTGTTTCGATGTATGTGGATGCTCACTTTGACTTCACATGCTATCAGAGACACAGTTTCCCCTAAAATGATTCAGCTATTTGGAAACATTGAAGTACAAACATCCTTAAACAACATATGGTTTAACAGCCACAATGTTTCCTTTTTTACGACATTGCAAGGAGCATATTTTGTACTGATTTCAAAATAAGTAACTATGTACAACTCTACTTTTCTCACTTGCTGTGTTGGTCATAATGAATTGTAAACATTGTATATATTATTAGTATAGATAAATAAATGCATGCATGAAAATCTGTTGTCATATTGGCTTCATTTTAAACAACTGAATATTATGACCTTCTGACAATCCTTTAAATTTGCAATCTTAAGAAATGCTATCTTGAGAATTTAATTAGCTTACCATACTCGGTTAATTCAACTCACATAGGGGCTTTCCTTTTCTTTTAAGTAAAAAATCAAAATCTTACTGGCCTACCAAGTGTTACCAATTTAAGTCCGTTCATGGACTTCATGTGATTTTGCATACTATCTGTGGAAGGTAAGCCCACAGGAGGCATCTCTGGGTAATCTTATGTGGGTAACCAGGCAATGATGTTGTTAGGACAAACAGAAGTGTGATGAGGGTAGACCAGGTGAATCCAATTAACAAGGCTAAGAGCAGGGATAAGAACTTAGAGTGTTGCAAATCTGGATTTAGGCTTAGTCTAACAAAACAATAAACAGACATGCTTTGCTTGCTTTTAGACATGATTTGTTAAGTGCAGAAGCTTGGTAATCTCAAAATAGATACAAATCCAAATGCACTCACATGATGGTTGTAGGTATTGACTCAAAAAACGAACTGAATTTCTTGCCTTTTACCAATATTGAAATTTCACTTAATGTAACAATGACATAAAGCACAACATAACTAAATGGATGGAAGTTTCTGATATTGCAATTATGTTAAATGATTGTGCAAATTGACGTAAATATTCCTTAATGTTGTGGAAATTTGCATACAGACTTCTACTGTTAAAATGAATGATTGATAGTTTCTGATCTGCCTTAATGGTCTTATTGTACTGTTCATCTGTGTAATAGCCACAGTCGTGATTGATGTTTAAGAAGAAATTATTTTCCGGGTCGATATTGTATTCCATGTCTTGTAAATTGTGCTCCGTGTATTCAAATGTTTTCAGTTCCAGATTCTCATTATCAGCCATCATTTGGGTTATAGTATAATGTACCATATAATGGTACCAGTATAATGTCTCCAGATGTAGATGAATGATTTCCTTTAGAGTGTGTCATGATTGTGTAGGTTTTTTACTCACTTGTGTTTCCAGTTCGGCCTCATTGAAACTTGTCCAGCTCCCCAATGTCTCTGATCACCATCACTTTGGCCTCCTTCGGTGTTCCGTGAAAATGAAGATTTTGCAGTTGTTGGTCCACGTGGACTGTATTTTATTTTGTTTCTTGATGAATCATGCTTGCCTGGCAATATCTGCGTTTTGTTTTGTTAAGTGTTCACTGATGTAGATGTCTGTCCCCTTCAGCTGCCTGCCTAGTTTCAGTAGTGCAATTTTGTGTTTACGGTTCACAAACCTCATTATTACGGCCGGTTTGTCGGTGTTGTTTTTGCAGGGCAGAGGATGACAAGCCTCGATGCTGTTACAGTCAAAGTCGATTCCCTTTGACTGTAGGAATGCTGCCACTTGATGCTCCGCATACTCGGAGACTGCCTCTGGTTAGTCGTCACGGTCAACGGTCACTGCCCGTGCATACGTCCAGGGTTTTAGTTTTAGCCCCGATATAATGATATCGTTCATTCTGGTGTATTGCTCCAGGTCGGCCACTCTGCTCTCCAGGAACACAATCTTCTTGTCCTTCTCCTCGTTCTCCAGCCTCAGCGCCTTAACCTTGGCCACCAGATCCAGGATGGATTTCTGCTGCAGCCTGATAGCGGTAATCTCCCCTGAGAGAAAGTCCAGCGACTTCTTAACGTCGTCGACTTTCTCCATCGCCGGTTGTTTTTCAGTGGCATGGTGACTCTGGCTTGTTGCGGGTCAATCACAGATCTCTAGCTAGCTAGCTAGCTCAACCAGGAAGTGAGTGTGTGTCGCGGTCACAGGTGATCTTTCGTTGCAGAACATTCTCCCATTTAGTCCATGCTCCTTGTTGCCTCATTCCCACCATCCTGCTTGCTCGGTCTTCCTCCACGCCTGCCCGCACTTCCTCCTGAATGAGATGTTGTCGTTCTTTGCCCTTGGCCTTGTCCACCCTGGTTGCCGGGAAGTAGCAAATTCCTGCACGCCCTGTGGCTATGGACCCCACCAGTGCCTTCAGGTGACTCAGCCACCTCCAGAGCTTTGTCTGCCGTCCATTTCCTGCCTTTTCGCACCTGGATGCCAGCCGATGCCACCTTTGGATCCCTGGATTCCCTGTACTGCAAGACTTGTGTTCTGGACACCATGAACTCTTCGGCGAGGCTGCTGAATGGGAGCTGCAGGATGTTACTGGTGCCATACAGGGCGGAGCTGCTCAGACTGCGTGGTAGACCAAGCCATCTACGCAGGTAGCTGCTGATGTTTCTCTCCATGGCCTTGACTGTTGTTATGGGTACTGTGTACACCAGCAGAGGCCACAGGATCCGGGGCAAGATGGAATGCTGGAGGGGGGGGGGGGTTGGTGGCGCAACGGTTAGGGCGTGCGTCCCATGTGTTAAGGCTCTCGTCTCGAGCGGTTGGCCCGGGTTCGCTTCCACCCATGGCCTCTTTCCGCATGTCATTCCCCACTCTCTCTCCCTGGTGTCCGACTCTATCCACTGTCCTATCTCTGCATTAAAGGCACAAAAAGCCCAAAAAATAAATCTAAAAAAAATAAAAGAAAGATGGAATGCTGGTAAATCCAGGCCTTGAACCTCCCTGGCAGACCTGATTTGTCAACTTGACTCAGCCAGTCCTCAAGCTCTCACTGGGAACATGATGTCATTGAAGGGCGAGCTCAACAAGCTTGTGAGGTATGGAGCCGTATGCATTGGCAAGGTCCAGCCAGAGTACGGTGAGGTCTCCTTTCCCTAAACAAGTAAACAATTACAGACCAATTTCTAAACTTTCCATTTTGGCAAAAGTATTTGAAAAAATCATTAGTGAACAATTGAAGGATTTTTTGGATGCCAATAATGTATTATCTAAGTATCAGTCAGGTTTTAGAAAAAAACATAGCACTGTTACAGCTGCTCTTAAGGTTTTAACTGACATTATTGAAATAATTGATTGTAAGCAATTTTATGTAGCTCTCTTTATCGATATATCAAAGGCCTTTGATACAGTTGATCACGGATTATTGATCAAAATCCTCCATCAAGTTGGTCTATCAAAGCAAGCAACCTCCTGGTTTGGCAACTATCTGTCAAACAGAACGCAATGTGTGCAAATGGCAGGATCCACCTCTTCCTTTTCAGAAATCTCAAAAGGGGTGCCCCAAGGTTCGATACTAGGACCTATTTTATTTTCCATTTATATCAATAACGTGTGAAAATTTGTCAAATGCCATGTATCACTTTTATGCTGATGACACTATCATCTATTGTTGCTCAGCATCTGTTGCACAAGCTTTTGAGTTTCTGCAGTCAGCTTTCAATGTTGTCCAGTCTCGTTTGAGAGAACTAAGGTTGGTCATAAACACTGATAAAACAAAGCTCATGTTGTTTTCACATTTAAGTGGAGAAACAACAAATGTCCCATTGATTTTAACTTCTCAAGGAAATGTAATCGAGCTTGTCAAAAGCTACAAGTACTTGGGATTTATTCTTGAGTGTGATCTGTCTTTTTAATCACATATTGCCAATTTGGCCTCTAAACTTAAGGTGAAGTTGGGATTTTATTACAGAAATAAATCCTACTTTCCCCTCACAGCAAGGAAACTTTTTTGTTTCATCAACCTTTCTTCCTTTGTTGGATTATGGAGATGTACTGTATATGGGCTCCTCGGCCAAATGTTTACAGTCATTGGACACCGTGTATCACTGTGCGTTGAGATTCTTCACTGGTTGTAGACGCTTCACTCATCACTGTGACCTGTACACTAACTCAGATTGGCCATCTTTGAAGGTGCACAGGCATATACACTGGCTGAAGCTTATTTATAAAGCTCTTCTTGGTTTGGTGCCTTCTTATTTTTGTTCATACCTTCAAAGAACCAGAAGCCACTATGCCTTGCGTTCCTGTGATATCTTTAAACTGTCTGTGCCTCCTGTCCGCATGGAGCTCGGGAAAAGAGCGTTTAGTTTTGCTGCTCCCACTGCATGGAACGTTCTCCAAAATGAATTGGAAATGGCGGAGCTCATTTTGCTTGAAGCCTTTGGCTCGACCTTAAAAGATAAAATACGCGAGACAATTGGACAGTGCCTGTGTTTCTGAATTGTAATCCGTGATCAAGATTCTGCACTTTATCTGTAAATCAATTTGCACATTGTAAATTGTTGTTCTCTCCTAACTTATTGTTTGTAAACTGTCTCTTTATCATGTAATGCTTTTTATGACGTGTGCTGCTGCCTTCTTGGCCAGGTCACCCTTGTGAAAGAGATCCTGATCTCACTGGGTTATTTATCTGGTTAAATAAAGGTTAAAAAAAAAAACAACCTCCTGAACCTCAGTCCAGCTGGGCTCCCTCATTACAAAGTCCACTGTTGGAGGGTTGTGGGCTTATGAGGGCCCTCTGTGGTCCAAGCTCCTGGTCTCTCTCTGGGTCACTCAGGGTGTTATGCAGGGAGGAGTTTGCGTCCTCGGTTGAGCACGAGGTTGCCGCTATGCTTATCCCCCAGCAGCTTCTTGGTGAAGGTAAAAGGGTTGGAGACGAAAGCAGTGCGCTTCCTCGCTCTTTCCTTCCTCCGCCTTCAGTGCCACTCAGCCCGGTGCAGCGTCATGAGCTTCTTCCTCAGAATGTTGCGAAGCTCAGCGAGCAGTTGTTTTTCTTCTTCGCTAGCCACCTTATGCTGTTTTCTGAGGCCTCAGAGTTCTTGACGCAGTTTGTGAATCTGGGTGGCTCTACGGTTCATCGTGTTCATCTTGATGTTCCTGCACTCACCGTGGCCAAACCTCTCAGCTGCATAGCTGACTATTATTGCCGTCATGGTCTCAAGCATCTGGTCCACCTCCCCCTTGGCTGTGGTTTTCAAGATCTGGCTCACGTCTGCGTCAAACTGTGACCACAC